CTCTTGCAAGTAGTAGCTTTCAACTTTGCTACTAGAACTTACTTGTAGAGTGGTTTACTACTTTGACTTGTACTAGTTATAATCTAGTCTAACTTAACATCAACTTAGTTGGACATTTCAACTAAACTAGCTACAAACTAGATTACAATAAAAATTACAATTTTTCATGTGACAACAAAATGTCACAACTCCAACACAAATAGACTATTAGCGAAGGAGTAAATAGTTACCAAAGTTCATCCCTGTGTAGACAGGTAATTTAGCTGGTTGGCTCTCTTTTGGTCTGATGTGCTCACATGGTCGAGCAAAGCTTGAACATTAAACTGATTTTTGTTAATGTCATATTAGCTCTCGAACCTTATTCTACCACATTAATTTTAGGGAACGTATTATAAAATGCTCATTCAACTATATTAACTTACTGTATTAGAATATATCGGCTCCAAATCAGTTGCAGCTCAAGCTTCAGGCCTCAACCAACAGCTCAAGCTTCAGCATCACTCTTGGGCTCCAAAATTAGTTTCAATTAGTTAGAATTTGTACAGCTGTATTCCTGCCTATTTTTCGTTGCTTTGGTTTGTTATTTATACTGTGTAAACCATTTTCATCTTCAAGATAAGAATCATCATTTTACATTCTTCAATTCTTGCTTTCTCTCCAATATACTGCGTTATTTGTTAGGAATTTACTTAATCATGCATAGCGAAATTTAAAATAATTTTAATTTTCACCAAAGATATGCTTTACTTTATTTAGATAGAAATGCTCATAGGAATTATATCTTTAGTTAATTCTATGAAGAACAATCACGATCCACAATATACAGTCCAAGTATTCAGCCTCCAATAAAAATCCACGAATGGAACAAGAATGAGATAATTATGATTTCTCTTTTCTTGTACTAATAAGATAATATTTGTCTTATATTTTTTTCAACACTAACATCTTATTAACAGAAATTCAAGTGGGCTTGACCCGACACTTAAATTTTACCCAATCCAATATTTAATTAATCTAATTAATTAAACTTGGTTTATTAATTAATTAATCTAATTAATTTGGCACATTAATAAGATTAATTAAGTAACACAATTAATTAATTGTCCAGCACTCATTATTGATTAATTAGTAATTATTATTCTTCTAGTTCTCCTTTTGTGTATGACACATTGGGTTCCCGATCGTGATGTGTAACGACAAGAATTATTATTTTGATCTAATCAGGAATCGATAAATTAAAATACCCATTTTCAATCTATCATCAATTCATATCCATCGTCCTAAATCGATATCTAGTAATGTGTCAGACAATACATGTGACAGAAAATGTCATATGGTATGACAAAATCAAGCTTGTTTGTTTATCGTAAAACTATAATTTCTTTGTCAATATGACCCAACTAATTACGAGACACGGAATGTGCTGATCTCAATTATCGATCTTATATTTCATCCTACTCTTAAGTCAATATAAGTCAAATACTCTTTTGACTTATGAATACACCTTGGCCAATAATTTCATTGTCAACTTAATTGAATGAAATGTAGATCATAATCTCTTACTATCTAAGAATAAGCCTTGTGCAGAAATGTCTTTCAATCCCTCAACGCTTCGTAAATTCGTGAACTCCAAGGCCTAAGTTCCTCAGCCCCAAGCTGTAGCCTCGACAAAAAGGAAAAAAAGGCCCCAGTTTTCAAAACCTGATGAGTCCATGATGGGGCCCCGTAAGACCTCTCAGTCCCGGCCACCTATCTTGGACCCCAGAGCAACACGAAAACCAGCATCCTCTCCTCGAGTCTTATCCCCTCGTCGTACCCCCGAGGTTGTATACCTCAAGGATGATTGTATTCCTTTTATGGCTTCAGTTATCTAGGATTTCGAGCGTTGTTACCTCGTTTTGAGCATCTTTATTAAGTATAGAGACGACGCTGGTTCGATAAGGGGATGAAAGTCCTCGTGTTTCTTACTTTAAAGGTAAAAAACTAGACTTTGTTTTGAATGCGTTTAAGTAATTTATTAAATAGTCTCTGAAGATTATGAACTTTTAAACAGTATAAGCTCATGAGTACCCAGTCTCCACATCGAAAGCTTTGTTAATTTCCTTCACCAATATGCCACTTACTGCATTTTGAGAAACGACTAAGTACAAAAGCAAAGTGTCTCCGAGCTTGGGTTTGGTAAGAACTGGTGGAGTTGCCGATGTTTGTTTGAGCTCTTGAAAAGCTCTTTCACATTCATTTTTCCAATTAAAGCATTGATTATCCCTAAGAACTTTAAAAAATAGGAAATGTCTATCCGCTGCATGAGACATAAACCTGTTCAAGGTGACGACCCGACCTGTTAGTTTTTGTACCTCTTTCTTGTTCCTAGGTGACTCCGTGGATGTTGAGGTATGTATCTTATCTTGATTAGATTCGATTTCCTAGGTGTGATCATGAAGCCAAGGAATTTACCGAAGGCCATCCCAAATGGTGGTGAATACCTCATCAAGGTCAGTGATATGTTGGTCTACCTGTTTACTCTTAACTACCATATCGTCAACATATGCCTCAATATTTTTCCCAATCAGCAAAAACTTTGTTAATAAGCCTTTGATATATTGCCCCTACATTTTTCAAAGTAAACAGGATGACCTTGTAACAATATATGGCGAAATCAGCTATAAATGATGTTTTCTCTTGATCCTTCTGAGCCACGAGGATTTGATGATAGTCACATAATGCATCAAGGAAACTGTACAATTTATGGTCTGATGTACTATCTTTGAGGTTGTCAATCCGAGGTAGAGAATAACTGTCCTTAGGGCATGCTTTGTTGAGATCTGTGAAGTCAATACAAACTCTCCATCGTATTCCTTTATGCAGGGAAATTGGAACCTGTCCGGAAGCGAATCGGAAAGTACCTTCGATGTGAATGGAGTGTTAGGGATAAATGTTGTTTTCCCTTAGGTCTCCTGTAATAGGCCATCTTTAACCCCATCTTGTATGATTTGGATAAGTTAGCCCGAGTCCATAGTAACCAATCTTCGAGGCCAAAGCCAATGGAGGTGCACCTAAGGCCCAATTCCACCATTATCATGGGTGTGGCCAGGGACTTGAGCTCTAGCATTGGCCATGAAACCTTCTTATGCTATCTATATCAGTACTGATGTCGATGTCGGATGAGAATTTCTTTGACTTAGCAACTGAGTCAGCGTGGCAACTTCTTGATGGAGTTCTTCGAATACTGCGGTGATAATCACTACTAGTTAAGGAGCTGGTATTTTTGAAAGAATTGGGAGATCCGAAATAGGAGGCTGATTCGAGGCGGATGAGCTTACTAGATAAAGACTTGAACATGTATTAACCATGGCTATTAATAGCATTTCCCACAGATGGCACCAATAATGCTGCAAAAAATCGTACCTGTTGAATTTTGAACTTGACGACTAAGAATGAACACGAATAAAATATTTCAGTACCTGAAATAAAGGCATCAAAGTATTTCCTCATCACCCATTCGATACTTAAGTCAGAAAGAGAAGTTATGCGAAAGACTACATGCTGAAAATTACGTAAAGACGTACCTAGATAATGAACAAAAGTTTAGAATTTATAGAGGTATGTAGTGGACTTTCAGTTGGATCTTGGATTAGTTGAATATCTTTGTCCTTAAGAATTCTACTAGATATGGGTGTTAGGATTTCACAATAATTGTAAGTCTAAACACAACTATAATATTTATGGGGATAGAATCCTCGCATATATTAGAGTCTTGGATCAAGATATTTGGATATGTTTAGAATCCTTGGGGAATAGGATCCATTTTTATTTAGGCATGGTTGCCTTTGAATTTGGCAAAGAGAATTACTAGTGGATCAGATGTATTTCACTAGTCCAGAAGATCCTGCGGACTTACCCCGAGGATGGCCATCACCACATACCGTAAAAGGCATGATGGAAGTCCTCTCGAGGATTTCTTTAAACTCGAGCACTCGTATTATATCGATGAATATGGTCCTCGTGATTATGGTCCTCATGGTATTATGATTACAACCGTATTACTATCTAATCCTCCATTGATGCCAATTTCATGAACCCATTCTTGGATTCAAACAACATTTTTCTTTATAATCACTTACAATCAATAAAATTATGGGTTTTATGTAGCTTTAAAATGTAAAAGAGGTGGAGATGCCAATGGTCGTTGGTTGGATAGGAGATTGTTGAAAGAAAATATTCGATCACAAAGTGTTCCAGGCTTAGTATACAGTCTATATACCGAATCAAACACCACAATCCTCAAACCCAAACCATAAACCACTCCCAAACCCGATTGCTTTCTTGGCTTGCCCACAAAGGACACAGTGTAAAGTGTTATTAATACCACAATAATAGCCACAAAGGATAAAACGGAGATCAAAACGAAAGGCACAAAACAGGAAGCACAAAACAGAATGAAGCTGCTGGTTTCACTCACAAAACAAAGGGCAAAGCAATTAATAATTTCACACACAACCAACACAGGGAACGGGGCAGCATATATATAGGTATTAGATGGGCTTTAGGTCAAATAGTAATTACGCCCAAGTAGTAATAGGTAATGGATAAATGTGCTATCAACCAAAAAGTCATCCAAGAGTTATGGGTTGAGCCATGATTAGTACTAATTAAATTTGGCTACTTCAAATGACCCAAATAATTTGTGGGAGTGGTTTGAACAATTGTGGTATCCATATTTTACTTCAGTTATCTGTTCGATGCTGACTGAATAAACAATGACTTTACATCATTGCCCGAGAGGTCATTTGACAACAATCTACCTAACAAACATTACCTCAGTACCAAAAGACCTGCAAAGAAAATTATTACACGTTAGTAATAATTCAGAAAAAGAGAACCGATAAAATTGAAAATTATTTACCTCTACCGATGTTTAGAAGATTTTTGCAACTTCTAAACTTTACCAACGGTAACAACTTCTGGTCTAGTGCAAACCATCAAATACATAATAGAACTAATCACATTGGAGTATGGAATTCTCCTCATGTATTCCATCTCTTTTTCATTACATGGAGCCTGATCTTTAGATAATACAAAATCATTAGCTAAATGTAATGTAATAGGTTTACAATCATGCATGCCAAATTTCTCTAACATTTTTGAAACATATGAGAATTGATATAAAAACAAGACATAATTTGACATATCTCTTTCAATTTTCGTACCTAGGATTCCTTTAGTATTTCCTAGATCTTTCATGTCAAATTCACCGATCAAACTTGTTTTTATATTACTTATCAACTTAGGTGATGAACCAACTAAGATCATATCATCTACATATAGTAATAAGAACACATAATCATTATTTGCATCAGTGTGTTGAAAATAAAGGCAATGATCAAACTTACTATGTTGAAACCCTATGGATCGTACAAAAGAATCAAATCTTTTATACCAATTTCTAGGTGATTGTTTAAGGCCATATAAAGATCTTTTCAAGAAGCACACATGATCAGATTTTAATTTGTCTTTAAAACCACTTGGTTGATTCATAAAGATTTGTTCATCAAGTTTACCATGTAAAAAA